GGGCTGCCGCTTTTTTCCAGCTCGGGGCTTTGCCGGACAAAAGCGCCAGTCTAGACATGATCTTGCGGAAAATAAGCCCTTTTCCGAAAGATCCCTTATTCCTACTTGAAAGTAGGAATACTTGAAAGTAGGAATAAGGGATCTTGTGGAAAAGGGCTTATTTTCCGCAAGATCCCGTCTAGACTGGCGCTTTTCTCCGGCAAAACCCTGAGCCGGAAAAAAGCGGCAGCCATGTTCATGCAAATGCCGCAGGGGATATTTAAATCCCCTGTGGCATTTGCAATTCCGACTGGTCTCATTAGCATCCCTTTTCCGGAAAGGGGTGCCAATGTAGACACAGCCTTAGAGACTAACAGATTTATTAGGGCATAAACTTTTGTGGGTCAAACCCACTTCATCAGATGAACCTGAGCCGGAAAAAAGCGGCAGCCATGTTCATGCAAATGCCGCAGGGGATATTTAAATCCCCTGTGGCATTTGCAATTCCGACTGGTCTCATTAGCATCCCTTTTCCGGAAAGGGGTGCCAATGTAGACACAGCCTTAGAGACTAACAGATTTATTAGGGCATAAACTTTTGTGGGTCAAACCCACTTCATCAGATGAACTGAAGTGGAAGTTACAGAAGCAGAGATATATACTCCTGCCTCTGTAATTTCCACTCGAAAGGAAATATGAAACAACTGGACTTTGCGTATTGATACAAACCCACATTTCATGTGACAGAATAATAAGGATAGATGAATACAGCAGGAGGCATATGGTGTAAATGTGGATGAAATCCTGGCCTCACTTAAGACAATAGGAGATTTGCCATTGACTTCAGTGGAAACATGATTTTAGTTATGGATGATAATAAATGTTTACATTTACCATCTGCAAGTTCCAGTTTATCTGGATAAATGATAAATTCCAGATAGGAAAGAAAACTTTCTTAAATTAAAATTGCAAGAAAGCTGTTAGTTATTTAAGGAAACACTTTGGTTCAGTCAAAAAACTCTAGTCTTAAATTATGCTAGACATTCTGGGTACGTCTAGACTACATGCCTCTGTCGACAGAGGCATGTAGATTAGGCTACCAGGCATAGGAAAATGAAGCGGCAATTTAAATAATCGCCACTTCATTTAAATTTACATGGCTGCCGCGCTGAGCTGACAAACAGCTGATCAGCTGTTTGTCGGCTCAGCGCGGTAGTCTGGACGCGCGGGTGTCGACATCAAAGGCATTTGTCGACCACCCAGGTATATCTCCTGGGATGAGAGTTATTTGGAGTTTCTAAACCAAACCATTTTAGCTACAGGCATAAAGCTACCATTTAGCTACAGGCATAAAGGGAAACAAGAAGACCTTTTATAAATACATTAAAAGCAAGAGGAAGACCAAGGACAGGGTAGGCCCACTGCTTAGCGAGGAGGGAGAAGCAGTAACAGGGAACTTGGAAATGGCGGAGATGCTCAATGACTTCTTTGTTTCGGTCTTCACCGAGAAGTCTGGAGGTGTGCCTAACGTAGTGAATACAAGCAGAGAGAGGGTAAGTTTAGAAGATAGGATACACAAAGAACAAGTTAAAAATCACGTAGGAAAGTTAGATGTCAGCAAGTCACCAGGTCCTGATGAAATGCATCCCAGGATACTCAAGGAGCTGATAGAGGAGGTACCTGAGCCTTTAGCTATGATCTTTGAAAAATCATGGCAGACGGGAGATTCCAGAAGACTGGAAAAGGGCAAATATTGTGCCCATCTATAAAAAGGGGAATAAGAACAACCCAGGAAATTATAGACCGGTCAGTTTAACGTCTGTCCCAGGGAAGATAATGGAGCAGGTAATTAAGGAAATCGTATGCAAACACTTGGAAAGTAATAAAGTGATAGGGAATAGCCAGCATGGGTTTGTGAAGAACAAGTCATGCCAAACTAATCTGATAGCTTTCTTTGATAAGATAACGAGCCTTGTGGATAAGGGAGAAGCGGTGGATGTCATATACCTAGACTTTAGTAAGGCATTTGATACGGTCTCGCATGATATTCTTATTGATAAACTAGGCAAATATAACTTAGATAGGGCCACGATAAGGTGGGTGCATAATTGGCTGGATAACCGTAGTCAGAGAGTTGTTGTTAACGGTTCTAAATCCTGCTGGAAAGGGATAACAAGTGGAGTTCCTCAAGGGTCTGTTTTGGGACCCGTACTATTCAATATCTTCATCAATGATGTAGATATTGGGATAGAGAGTACGCTTATTAAGTTTGCAGATGATACCAAACTGGGTGGGGTTGCAACTTCTTTGGAGGATAGGGACATAATTCAAAATGACCTTAGCAAGTTAGAGAAATGGTCAGAGGTAAACAGGATGAGGTTTAATAAAGAGAAATGCAAAGTGCTCCACTTAGGAAGGAACAATCAGTTCCATACATACAAGATGGGAAGCGACTGTCTAGGAAGGAGCATGGCAGAAAGGGATCTAGGGGTCATAGTGGACCACAAGTTGAATATGAGTCAACAGTGTGATGCTGTTGCAAAAAAAGCAAATATGATTCTAGGTTGTATCAACAGGTGTGTTGTAAGCAAAACTCGTGAAGTCATTCTGCCGCTCTACTCTGCACTAGTTAGGCCTCAGCTGGAGTACTGTGTCCAGTTCTGGGCGCCACATTTCAAGAAAGATGTGGAGAAATTGGAAAGGGTACAGAGAAGAGCAACAAGAATGATTAAAGGTCTAGAGAACATGACCTATGAAGCCAGGCTTCATGAACTGGGCTTGTTTAGTTTGGAAAAAAGAAGATTAAGGGGGGACATGATAGCGGTTTTCAAATATCTAAAAGGGTGTCACAAGGAGGAAGGAGAAAATTTGTTCCTCTTGGTTTCTGAGGACAGGACAAGGAGTAATGGGCTTAAAGTGCAGCAGGGGAGGTTTAGATTGGACATTAGGAAAAAATTCCTAACTGTCAGGGTGGTCAAATATTGGAATAAATTGCCAAGGGAGGTGGTGGAATCTCCCTCTCTGGAGATATTTAAGAACAGGTTAGATAGACATCTGTCAGGGATGGTGTAGACGGAGCTTGATCCTGCCTTGAGGGCGGGGGGCTGGACTCGATGACCTCTCGAGGTCCCTTCCAGTCCTATTATTGTATGATTCTATGATTCTATGATTTTGGAATTATGATCAATGCAAATAAGCTGATCAGCTGTTTATCGGCTCAGCGCGGCAGCCATGTAAATTTAAATGAAGCGGCGATTATTTAAATCGCCGCTTCATTTTCCTATGCCTGGTAGTCTAATCTACATGCCTCTGGCGACAGAGGCATGTAGTCTAGACGTACCCTCTGAAAACACAAAAACTTGCCTCCCGATCTCTCCATTTCAAACACTAAGGCTGTGTCTAGACTGGCCAGTTTTTCCGGAAAATCAGCCGCTTTTCCGGAATAAGCTGCGAGCTGTCTACACTGGCCCTTGAATTTCCGGAAAAGCAACGATGCTCTACTGTACAAAATCAGCCGCTATTCCGGAAAAACTATTCTGCTCCCGCTCGGGCATAAGTCCTTATTCCGGAACACTGTTCCGGAAAAGGGCCAGTGTAGACAGCCCAGCTCAGATTTGTTTTCCGCAAAAAAGCCCCGATTGCGAAAATGGCGATCTGGACTATAGATTGGCACGGATGCTTTTCCACAAAAAGTGCTTTTGCGGAAAAGCGTCCGTGCCAATCTAGACGCTCTGTTCCGAAAATGCTTTTAACGGAAAACTTTTCCGTTAAAAGCATTTCCTGAAAATCAAGCCAATCTAGACGCAGCCTAAGAGTATGGTTAATCAGTTGTGTGTAACTTGAAATAAGCAATTTGCGTAGCTTATTTCAAAATAGAGCACTATTCCAGTGGCTTCCTTATTCCTTGGGCAACGAGGTTTACAGAAAACAGGAATAAGATGCCCATCATTTTGAAATTAATTCAAAATAACGGGAGTCCTGCTAAGACACACACAATGCTATTTTTGGATATTGAATGTTATCCCCAAATAGTGCTGCTGTGTAGACATACCCCAATGGATTACAGCTTATTTGGAGTTTCTAAACCAAACCATTTTGGAATTATGATCAACTAAATTTACAAATTCAAAAAAATACTCAGGAAGCAATCTCACCTCATTTTAAAAAAACTTAATTTCCAAAGGCCTTTTCCCTTTTGCTTTATACTGTCCCAAAAAACTCAGTCCCAGCACAAAACAATGGCTGTGAAATTTCTGGTAGGTTTTGATTACATTAGGAAAGCAAAAGTCAAAGTGTTTTTTATAACTGAACACTGGCTTCACACTTTTTAGCTATTTCTCCACAATAAATTTTAAAGTTTATGCTGAAATTCCATTAAGTTATATAATAGTACCTATACATTGCAAGGATCTCAAAATAGTGTATGCAATTAAAGAACTTTGGCAGAATAGGTTAAGGTAAAGGAAAGAACTGGGAATCCTTTGCTTTTGTGATGTGATTTCAAATAATTATTATAATATTGTTTAAACAGTTTTCATAGTGAAAATGGAGATTTTTTTATTCTTGTTTAGCTTTATAGGCCCTCTTTCTAAAAAGCACCCTTAAAGAGAAGATGACTGAATTAATTATACCTTTTCTTCCAGGGGGAATACGATTTTCTTGAGTCTCGTTCTCAGCTTGTTCAACGATCTCTTTTTCATGATTTCTTGAAACAGTCCCTTTGTCTTTCTGACTCCATCTAAGTGTATTGGATTCTTCCTGATCCTGGCTGAGATGATATTTCTGAGAACTTTCCAAAGATGTAGGATTTTTTCCAGACTCCCACTTTTCAGAATGTAAACTACTTGGTATGTGGAGAGATCCATTAGATTCAATTTGGTCTGCATTACAATAGACCAGTATTACATGGGAAAAGAAATACACAATTTTAAATGGGCCCTTTAAAATGTTTTCTTCAGAGTCCAATAGCTGAAGACCTTTGAAAGCCTTATTAAATGAAAACAAACTAAAAGTGATATTCACAAAAGAGCAACACATCCCAAATATGTCTCAGAGCATAGCAGTAAGGAATAGATATAACCAGACCACATACACAAAATTAAAATAAAATAAACAGATTTTGAGCTTTCCCCTAGACCAGTGTTTCCAAATTGGTGCTCCACAGAATGTAAAGGTTCTACGAGAACTTGGCACTCCCCTGTTCCCTCTTAAAGAGACAGAGCCTTTTTGCAGCGGGACTCGGCAGGTCTTTTTTTTTTTTTTTGCGTGACAAATGTTACCCTGACAATCCTAGGGGTCCCTTGAAATTTTTTCAAGCTGAAAAGAGTTCTATGGCCAAATAAAATTGGGAAACACTGCCCTAGACCAATGTTTCTCAACCTATTTTTTTTATAAAGTACCCCTTTAAAAAGAATGTATCCCCAGTACCTACAGTTTTCAGACATACAAATTTTTTTTCTACCATTGCAACACATTTGTTTAAACAATTTAATCATAGCTGGGTGGGTGATGACATTTTTGGGTGTAAAAAGTACAAAAATAAGAAAGTGCTGTAAAACAAAACAAAAATTCAGTTTTCTCCAAATTTCAGTTGTGTTGTCGTATCCCTCTCCCCTGACTTCTTTTGAGTACCCCTATGGGTACTCGTACCACTGGTTGAGAAACACTGCCCTAGACAACAGCTATGATAGAAAGAGAATTTCAGGGTTAGACAGGCCCCTCAAAAGAAATGTCCCTGCTTTCCAAGCACCCTAATTCAGCACTATAAGTGAAGTTAATGGTCACAGAACAGACTCCCAGAGCAAATAAGTCTTGGTAACATACAGAAGGTCAGGAACCGAGGCTATAAAATATCATGGGACTTATTGGTTGTACAGTACACTTTGGCATGTTTGCATATTACATCAGTTTCAGATATTGTGCCATCTGTCTTACCAACTATGCTGCCTATGCAAGAGATGCTGTCAATAGAATGAATTCAGGAATAGGTGGCACAAAGCACACACCTGTTGCATTTCTTAGACTACCAATTTAACCCCTCTGCATCCACTATATGATTCTCAGTGAAAATATTCCTCTCCTGCTTCCAACCAGTTGTCAATTGTCTAATTTGAAGGGAAGAAAATGGGATTGTGCTTATGATGCTGAGACACCTGCTCAGAATGATGCTGACAGACCAGCTCAAATCAAAGCCAAAGGCCAATTCTCTTCTGTGTGACTATCTAAGAAATATAAAGTGAGCTAGGAGGAATAGGATAGTTAACTTGCATGTGCATATAAAAAATGTTAACGTTATTGTTTTCACATATGTGTGACCTGTTGAATGCTGTTGTATTACATTATGTATTCTATATACTTACATTACCCTAGAATACTAAGTGTATTAGTATTAAGGTGGGAATTTATCTGATGAAAATGAATGAAGGATTGTGTCTGGCTGTACCAATGCATTTACATTGCATTTATTCATCACATGAGAGTGTAGCATTGGAAATGTAAAAGATTGCTAACTTCAAAGCATGGGCCATTGTCATAGAATCATGGGAGATTAGGATTGCCCAAAGCAAGACCAACCCCAACTAAATTATTCCAGTGAGGGCTTTGTCAAGCCTAGCCTTAAAAAACCTCTAAGGATGGAGATTCCACCACATATCTAGGTAACCCATTCCAGTGCTTTACCACCGTCCTAGTGAAATAGTTTTAGTGAAATAGTTTTTCCTAAAATCCAATCTAGACCTCTCCCACTACGACTTGAGACCATTGCTCCTTATCCTGTCACCTGTTATCATGGAGATTAGCCAACTTCCATCCTCTTCAGAATCCTCCTTTCGGTATTTTAAGGCTGCTACCAAACCCCCTCTCACTTTTTTCTTCTGCAGACTAAATAATCCTTCTTCCCTCAGCCTCTCCTCATAAGTCATGTGCTCTAGTCCCCTAATTATTTTTGTTGTCCTCGTCTGAATGCTCTCCAAATTGTCCACATGGTCTCTGTAGAAGGGGCCCCAAAACTGGATATAATACTTCAGACATGGCCTCACGAATGCCACATAGAGGGGAATAATCACTTCCCTCGATCTGCTGTCATTGGCAATGTTCCTATCAACGCAGCTCAATATTCCATTAGCCTTCATGGCTAAAAGGGCACACCGTTGACTTATATCCAGCTTCTTATCCACTGTAATTCCCAGATCCTTTTCTGCCAAATTGCTGCTTAGCTAGTCGGGCCCCAGCCTGTAGTAATGTATGGGATTCTTCTGCCCAAGTGCAGGACTCTGCTCTTGTCCTTGTTGAACCTCATCAGATTTCTTTTGGCCCAATCCTCCAATTTGTCTAGATCACTCTGGACCCTATCCCTACCGTCCAGCATATCTATCTCTCCTCATATCTTAGTGTCAACCACAAACTTGTTAAGGGTACAATCCATCCCATAATTCAGATGATTAATGAAGATATTGAACAAAATCAGCCTCCCAGGACCAGCCCCCGGGGCATTGCGCTTGACACCAGCTACCAAGTAGACACTGAGCCATTGATCCCTACCCACTGAACCCAACGATCTAACCAACTTTCTGTCCTCATTATAGTCCATTCATCCGTGTCATCCTTCTTTAACTTGCTGGCAGGAATACTGTGGGAGACTGTATCCAAAGCTTTGCTAAAGTCAAGGTATATCACATCCACTGCTTTCTCCTATATACACAGAGCCAGTTACCTCATTATAGAAGAGAATCAGGTTGGTCAGGCATGATTTGCTACTGAATTTATGCTGCCTATTCCTGATCATCTTCCTTTCCTCCAAGAGTTTTAAAATGGATTCCTTGAAGTCCTGCTCCATGATTTTTCTAGGGACTGAGATGAGGCTAACTGATCTGTAGTTCCACAGATTCCCCTTCTTTTCTTTTGTAAAGATAGGCACATTTGCCTTTTTCCAGTCGTCCAGGACATCCCTTGGGTGTCATGAGCTTTTGAAGATAATGGCCAATGGCTCTGCAATCACATCAGCTAACTCTCTTAGCAGCCTCAGATACATTAGATCTAGCTCCATGGAAATGTGCATGTCTAGCTTTTCTAAATAGTCCTTAATCTCTTTTTTCATGACCGAGGGCTGCTCTTCCCCACTCTGTGCTGCCTACCGCAACAGTCTGGGAACTGACCTCCTCTGTGAAGACCAAAACAAACAAACAAACAAACAAAAAAGCCTTTTCCACATCATCTGTCACTAGGTTGCTTTTCTCATTCAATAGGGGGGTCTCACTTTCCCTGACCTTCTTCTTATTGTTAGCATACTGATAGACACCCCTCTTGCTAGCCTTCACATCCCTTGCTTGCTACAACTCTAATTGCACTTTTCCCTTTCTCATTACACTCCTGCATTCTTCTTGTTCTTCTTAAACCTTTGTCAAAGTTTCCACTTCCTGTTAGACAATGGAAATTCACAGACTCTGTTAGCATTTAATCAACAAAGGAAGAGCTCATGCTATGACTGAAAATGACTGCTAGATTGCCTTTCCTGGAAAGACACTATAAGAATGGACCCAGGGATCAATCATGCACTTATGAACTGTTTTGGTTACTAACAGGGTAGAATATTGAACAAGTGGACTGAGATTGCCAAAATTACTGTGGATAACCCTAAGAGACTTATGGAAGATTTGCAGATTACTATATCTCTGCTATCACTTGGGACTTACAAACGTGGACTCCTCTATTAATGTATTCTACCAGCTTTAACCCTCTATAACTCTCATTTATATTCACTGGATAATAAACCTGTAGGTCATGTCTGCATTAGTTCTTACTTTGGGAAAACTTTTGTTGCTCAGAATGGGAACCTCCCTTTATGGATGCCATAAGTTTTTTCTGGCATAAGTGCTTGCGTGTACAGCACTATTTTGGTGGGAAAAGTTCACCTGTCAACATAACAACTACCACTCATTATGTTGGTTTTATTAAGTCAATGGAAGAGTTCTCTCTCATCAGCAAAACATGGCTACACAAGAGATCTCACAGCAGCACAGATGTATTGGTATATCTGTGATGCTGTGAACTTGTAAGTGTAGATATGGCCTTAGTTAGTTTACTAGAGAAACTGACTTCAGCCTTGTCTTTGGTGAGAACCAGAGTACCAACTTGACCTGGGGTAGGTGACTGGTGCTTTGGGAGTAAACCCTAATGGGATGTGATATATGGTATAGTGACCAATATCATAAAGTCCGATTTGTCTGGGTGGCAAAATAGGGTGGAGAGCCTAAGGAACTATTTGACCCCAGGGTAAAACTAACATAGTGACCCAGGGGTGCACATATATTACTTGCATGGTGAAATCTAATTATAGAATATACCACCACTTTGGGGTGTCTGCCCTGTTTTCTGACAATCTGATCTGAAATTGGGACGGACAGTTGTGAGCCACTTCAGATAGCATGACGGTTCTTTTTTTAAAGTTTCCTTATCAAATATAAAGGCCCAAAACAGCAAAAGAAATATCAAGTCTGAGCTTCCCTAGATTTTATGGAGAACACATTGGAGATCTCTTATGTATATTGTGAGATTAATCAGTTTTTAACTCAAAGGGCAGTGTATTAAATATTTGAAAGAAATCTTTTCTTCCCTCCTTTTGTAGAGTATTTTGGTTTAAGTGTGTGTTAAAACAATGTTTTAAATCTCAATTAATCAAGTTTTAATGGCATGACCTCCCTGATGTCATAACCATACCAGTTCTCCAGACATCTACAGTCTCTCTGGCTATGTCTACATTGCACATTTATTCCAAAATAAGCCATTTCAAAATTTATATTTCAAAATAGCTTATTTTGAATAGTGCATCTACACAGCAAATGCCCATTGAAATAGCACTTATTTTGAAATAGAGCGCTCACACTTATTGGATGCTGAATCGCATTTAAGGCCACCTGGAAGCACTTTGAGCAGGGCATCAGGATGGCACTCACTTCCCATAGCTGCTTCCCGAGGCTATCTGAGGGTCATGCTTAAAGGGATCCCCTTGTACAGTCACGTTTAAGGCTCTTCTCCTTTGCCTACCTCCTTGAGGGACAGCAAAGCCTTTTCTTTATGTGCTCTGGTTGCCCTTGCGGACATAACAGCACTCCTGCCATGGAGCTGGACCTGACTCCAAGCCGTTGACAGCTCTTATGTCTCATGCACTGGCGCAGTTTCTGCAGGCTGCCCTTGTGGCTCTGCAGGAACAGGACCCCCAGCTCATTGCGAGGCACCACCACACAAGAAGTGCTGCTCATGCAACTCGACCCTACCCCCTGTGCACTGTCGCGTCTGGTGATGGGACACCAGCTCCAACTGGTGGGACTAGATCATCATGGAGCAGTGGGATACCCAGCAGTGGCTCCAGAATTTCAGCATGGGGAAGGAAACTTTCTTGGAGCTGTATGAGTGGCTCACTCCTGCCATCAGGGTCGGGGACATGGACATGCTGACAGGACACTCACAGAGACCCATTAGCCCCCTCCAGAAGCGGGTAGCCATTGCCATCTGGAAGCTCGCCACACCAGAAAGCTACTGATCTGTTGAGAACCAGTTTGATGTGGGGAGATTGACTGCCCAGGTCGTGGTCATGCAGGTATGGCGCTCTTAAGCTATTGTCCCAGGAGGGTGGTGAACTGCTGCAATGGGGTTCCCTAATGAAGGAAGGGGCAGTGGAAGCTCCCTCCCTGGAAGGTTTTTCAGTCCTACTCTCACAAAACCCTGCCAGGAATGGAGCAAGTTGAGGTTGCTCCTGGCGTGTGTTTGTGGGGCGGAGGTGCTTGGGGAACACCTGAGGGCCTTGGCAATCCTGTGAGTCTCTGTGTGGATCCTCATAGCTGCTTCCCGAGGCTATCTGAGGGTCATGCTTAAAGGGATCCCCTTGTACAGTCACGTTTAAGGCTCTTCTCCTTTGCCTACCTCCTTGAGGGACAGCAAAGCCTTTTCTTTATGTGCTCTGGTTGCCCTTGCGGACATAACAGCACTCCTGCCATGGAGCTGGACCTGACTCCAAGCCGTTGACAGCTCTTATGTCTCATGCACTGGCGCAGTTTCTGCAGGCTGCCCTTGTGGCTCTGCAGGAACAGGACCCCCAGCTCATTGCGAGGCACCACCACACAAGAAGTGCTGCTCATGCAACTCGACCCTACCCCCTGTGCACTGTCGCGTCTGGTGATGGGACACCAGCTCCAACTGGTGGGACTAGATCATCATGGAGCAGTGGGATACCCAGCAGTGGCTCCAGAATTTCAGCATGGGGAAGGAAACTTTCTTGGAGCTGTATGAGTGGCTCACTCCTGCCATCAGGGTCGGGGACATGGACATGCTGACAGGACACTCACAGAGACCCATTAGCCCCCTCCAGAAGCGGGTAGCCATTGCCATCTGGAAGCTCGCCACACCAGAAAGCTACTGATCTGTTGAGAACCAGTTTGATGTGGGGAGATTGACTGCCCAGGTCGTGGTCATGCAGGTATGGCGCTCTTAAGCTATTGTCCCAGGAGGGTGGTGAACTGCTGCAATGGGGTTCCCTAATGAAGGAAGGGGCAGTGGAAGCTCCCTCCCTGGAAGGTTTTTCAGTCCTACTCTCACAAAACCCTGCCAGGAATGGAGCAAGTTGAGGTTGCTCCTGGCGTGTGTTTGTGGGGCGGAGGTGCTTGGGGAACACCTGAGGGCCTTGGCAATCCTGTGAGTCTCTGTGTGGATCCTTCCACAAATAGTGTAGGCCATCAACACGATCCTGCTGCGCAGGGTCATCATCCTGGGTGACATGGATCCCATTGTCACCAGCTTTGCTGCGGTAGGCTTCCCCAACGGGGGGGAGAGGGAGGGAGGAAAGGGCACTAATGGCACCCACATCCAGGAGCGTCCATAGATGAGCTGCCGGCAACTGGCGCCCTAGGCGAAACGCGCGATCAGCACCCCCGCCTCCAAAACCCTCAACGCCTTTTAACTTTGGCACCCGAGGCGACCACCTAGTTCGCCTCTATGGACGGGCCGCCACTGCCCACATCCCCATCCGGGCCCCTGACCACTGGGCATCTGAATATATGAACCAGAAGGGGTACTTTTCTGTGGTGCTTTAGGCCCTTGTGGACCACCAAGGCTGCTTCACTGATATCTATATCAGGTAGTTGGGGAAGATGCATGATGAAACTCCAGCCTCTTCCAGAAGCTGCCTTCCCTCATTTTTTTCCTCAACCGCACCATCAGGGGGACATGGACATGCTGACATGGATTGTAGGGGATGTAGCCCACTTCTGCTTCCCTGGCTTTTCATAGTGTAATCATCCATTTTCTTTTTCCGTTCCTGTTTAGGTTGATACCAAAGCATCTCATTTTCCATCCCCCATACTAGTTAAATCTTACCTTTCCTTCTATGAGGAATCTGTTTTTCTTGAATCCTGTTGTTCAGGCTTTGGTCACGTTTTAAGTGCAAAACTGGAATAGTTTCTTTTTCTATCTCATGCCATCCTAAAGGATTATACTCTTCCTGATTCTGCCTCAGAGTATTTTTAAGTGGACTTCCTAAAAACGTTGGACTTTTTTCAGGCTCTTTCTTTGGAAGATTTAAAGACTGAAAGATTGGTCCATGGGGAGAACTACAGGATTCTGCATTAAAGTGCTGTGTATCTGGAGTTGATGATGAATAAACAATTTCTAAGTAGTCCACTCCTGGGAGCAAATATAATTCAGGATGAAGTGCCTAAAATATACAATATGTTAATTGAACAAGGAAGATATAAGCAATTTGAAGTGCACACTTGAAATGACAACTTGAAAATTATATGATACATACATGTGGGGGAGCAAATAACTTGACTTTCAGTTCTGTTTCTTGCTTTGCCTTTACCTTGGAACATAAAAAAGCAAGTAAAATCAACAAAACACTTACGTAAAAGGAATGCAACATTCCATTCCATTTGTATATGTTTTTACTATCAGATGTATTGCTCGGGTCTTTAACTTAAGTAATTTTTTTTAAATAAATGAAAATTGTACATGCTTTCTTTAAATTATTGTATTTTATGAAAATGAAAGTTAGATTGAGGGTAGGGGTGTTAGACTAGTCGACTTTCTGATAA